ACATGAAAGGGTGAGAGGTTTCGACAAAATTATGAGACTTGCTTGTTTTGGTCGAAGCTATTTTTTTTGTGTAAGGAGGGTATGCTGAATAAGATTCGAAGAAAAATATTTTAAAGTCTTAGAAGTTGGTTCGACAGAAGATGGTGATGTTGTTTCGACATATGATTTGAATTCAAATAAAGGAGGGAACTTTTGTTCTTATCCAAATTTGTGAAAGAGACACGTGGAGCTTTTCTAAGGAAATGAGACATGCCGAGCGCCATTTGTCATTTGTTTGTAGGAAGACCGTTAGGGTTGATTATTTTTTATCATTATAAATAGAGGGTTCTAGAGTTAGAATCGGGGTGTGTTCAAAATTGTACAAAGTTTCTAAAATTACTCAAAGTATCTGTGTGCAGAGAAAAGAGTGTGTCAAGAAAATGTGCGTTTGACAAACACCATACTTTTTACACTTTAATGCAAATTCCATCTTTTCACCACAAAGTCTATCTTTTTATTATTCAAGTTATTTTTGAATGCATTTAATTGTCTTTGATTAAGTTTCTAAATTTTACTTCCTTTAAATTTCGAAGTTGATAGTTGTTAGATCATGAGTATTGTTGAAATATTCATCATTTCCCAAACTTTAAATTAAGAATTACTAGCACATGTCTTAGAATTTATATGGTCGATCCTGTAAGTACCCAATTCTTTTTCAATTGGAAAGACCTGCGGTTGTTTACTAATTTTCCTAGTAAACAAATTGGCACGCCTAGTGGGATAGTGCAAGTAGTGTTCTAGTTGCAATTTCGTTTGTTGTTTTTTCTCTTTGAAGACTTCGTTGTATGTTATTAAGAAGTGGCAAAGTAGCCACCAATAATGAGGATAGACCAAAGAGAAGATATACTAGAAGAATGGAGAGTTCAAATCAGCCAAAATGTTTCAATTCCTCAAAGTTCATCGAGTAATAATCGAGAACCTCCCCAAGTATCTTCGATTGGGGGAACCATGGTCCCATCGACTGTATCAGAACCAATTCCATCCATGGCAAGTTCAATGCCCACACAGTCGATTACCCATAGTGAGCCAGTTCTAAATTATACTGGGCCAATGGGCCCTCAAGTAACTCCTTCACCAGTGGGGAATGCTTCGAATAGGCCCGTCATGCCACTAGGTTTCTCTATGTCTTTTGGCAATCGAGATCAACCTTATGAAATGCCAACATCCATGATGGCGAATTTGCAGAACACCGCCTCAACATTCTCAAAACCTGTAGTGAATGTTACTTCGCCATTATAAGGATCAGAATCTAGGATAAACATGGGTCGAAATAGCTAACCTGTAGGAATTGGTTATTCCACCTAAATGCTAAACTTGGCCAATAATTCTGCAGCACTCATTAGGAAACTAATGGATGAGAGTAACCACGAAATGATCTAAATGTTGGCCCAAACAATAGGGACGATTCTTAATCCCCTAATATAAAGTACCACTCAATCCAACCAACAAGTGATGACACAGATGACACGCCTTGCATATTTTTTTGGAGTACCACAGCCTCCTCGACATCCACAGAGAGAATGCATATTGGAAAACCAGTGAATAGCCCTCGAAGAAGATCCCACTATTAATCAGGTTTAACAAAACCAAAGAGATCCGCCCCATGCAAATCTGTCGATGCAAGAGTTGCACTTGAACAACCTAGAGTCAAACTTCCCAGAGCCCAAACTCAAATTCCCATCGAAGAGAGACCTAGGGTAGTAATGGTGAATAAGGACCAAAATGTTGATAACGTTGTACAACAGAATCGACGTGTTATATGGCCGCAAATAATAATCTAGCAGCCATGGTCGAAAGGATAATGGCGCGAAATGGGTTAAACTTTGGTCTTCAGATACCAAACTATACTTTACCATTATCAGAGTATATTTTACAATCAGACCTACCCCTAGGTGGAAATTTCCTAAGTTCACTAAGTTTTCTAGGGATACCACTGAATCCACTGTAGAGCATGTGGCTAGATATTTGATAGAGGCTAGAGAGATTTCGAATAATGAAAATATTATAATAAAATATTTCCCTAGTTCTCTCACCAAAAATGCTTTTACATGGTTCACAACCTTGCCACCGAATTTGATCCATAACTGGACTCAGTTAGAAAGGTTGTTCCATGAACAACTTTATATGGGACAAACCAAGATTAGTTTGAAGGACTTGGCCAGTATCAAACAAAAGTTTACTGAGCCAATAGATGATTATTTGAATTGGTTTTGTTTTCTTAAGGCCATGTGTTTTACATAAGTGCCAGAGCGTGAATTGGTCGAAATGGTCGCTGGAGTTCTAGACAATTATATTAGGAAGAAACTAGATACCCAGTACCTAAGAGATATGGGCCAATTGGCTGACAGGGTTCGACAATTAGAACGCTTAAAGGAGGAAAATGCTAGAGCAAATAAAAACAAGAGGGTGACCTATGTCGAATTTAATGAAGATGATGAGGGAAAATATATTGAACCTTCAAACTTTGACGAAAGTGAGATCGATCTCGCTGAATTAAAGTAAGGGCCCACTTATTCGTGTAAGGTTTTAGCCCCTTCAAACGGCAAGAACCCGCTCGAATCAGATAAGAACGATAGGTTCCCTAAGAGAACTTACACCTTCAACGTCACCAAATGTGAATTTTTTTTGACTTATTAGTTAAGGATGGTCAAATGATAGTGCCTCCCGGTGCTAAAATGCCTCCTTTAGAGCAAGGGAAGAAAATAGGGTTTTGTAAGTGTCATAACTTTTTGGGTCATAAAACATATCAATATTTTCTTTTTAGGGACCTTGTTCAAAATGTCATCAAGGACGGGAGTTTAAGGTTCGGTGAGAAAGTGAATACTCAGATGAAAATCGATGTTGACCTTTTACAAGTGACTGATGCCCATTTCACTGAACCTGCTGTTATCAATATGATCGAAGTTACTAATGACTTCACTCATAATGTTAACATGGTCAAAGTCACTAGTGACTTCGTCAATGATGCTGTCATGGTTAAGATCACTGAGGATCTTGACGAGAAAGTTATGAAAGATTGCATATGTGAGGCTATTGATAGTCTCACCAAAGGAGCCATCAAAGGCGCTAATAACGAAACTGCTGATGGTTTTGATACAACAGGAATCACTGAGGATTCTAATATGGTAATGGTGATGGAAGAGACTGTTGATGGTTTCATACGGATGGACAAGGCTGCTGATGGCCTTACAATGGAGTTTCAAAATCTGGACATTACTGAGGATGTCACTATGGATATCAACATGGTCAAACTTTCACAAGAAACTTCGATGGAAACTGATGAAGAACGACGTCAGAAGGAATATAACAAAATAGCTTTCTCAAAGGAAGAAGAGAGTCTGAACAACTTCCTGCATATGTTTCAGAAGAAAAAGTTGGAGGTCATGCTCTGCCCAAGGTGTAGCGATGTGTTTGACAAAAAAGAGGCCCAAAACATGGAAGGAGTTCGATTGGCGAAGGCCAGAAGAAATTGGAAGGACTCCGGTAGCCAGCGAACCTTCGACAAGAGATGGCCATACAAGGGGCAGGACCAGGCCAATCAAATATTCCCAGGTGCCAAACCTACCACCTTCAAACCAACTGCAGAGGCTTCAAGAGAAAAATGGGCAAAGCCAGTCGAAAACGGAGAGCAAGGTCAACAAAGCTGACAGAACTTCGAGGTCAATAGGGGTTCATCAATTGGGTACCGTAGGGAATTCCAGACTTCCAGGAAGTTGGCCTATATCTCTGAGAACTACAAAGGCAGGAATCCAATGACCAGATCTCAATGAAGAAGGGAACAAAGGAGAAGGAAGGCATAAAGGGAGGCTATAGAAAATCAGAAAGCTGAGTTAAGCACCAATGTGCCTGCTGAAAACCTGCAAGTGTTCCCATTGAACAAAATCACAGGATAAGCTTTGAGGAGGAAAGTGACAAAGTTGACAAGGGTCAATATCAGAGATTAGTGGGAAAATTGATTTACTTGGCACACACTAGACCAGATTTAGCATATGCAGTCAGTGTGGTGAGTCAATTCATGCATGATCCGAGGGTGAGACATTTGTAGGCTGTAGACCGCGTTCTACAATATCTTAAAGCAACTCCAGGAAAAGGACTTTTGTTTAAAAGAGGTGGGAATTTAGCTATGAAGACTTACACTGATGCGGATTATGCCGGCTCAGTGAGTGACAGAAGATCTACGTCGGGCTATTGTACTTTTCTGTGTAGTAACCTTGTAGCTTGGAAGAGTAAAAAGCAAAGTGTAGTTGCTCGATCAAGCGCCGAGGCAGAATTTAGAGCTATGGCACTAGGAATTTGTGAACTATTGTGGATGAAACAAGTTCTAGAAGACTTGAAGATACAGTGTGAAGGCCCTATGGAATTTTTTTGCGACAATAAATCGGCTATTAGTATTGCTCATAATCCTGTTCAGCGTGACAGGACTAAACACATTGAGATTGACCGACATTTTATTAAAGAGAAGTTGGATAGTGGACGGATAACTACATCTTACGTTCCTTCTGGGCATCAGCTCGCAGATGTGTTAACAAAAGGCTTACCAACAGAAAGATTCAGGCAACTTACTTGCAAGCTGGGAATGATAGATATCCATTCACCAGCTTGAGGGGGAGTGTTGTAAATATTAGACTGTAAATAGTAATTAGTAGTATTAGTAATGAGACCCATTAGTTAAAATCCATTAGGTTTTCTATTCTCTCTTATTTAAAACATGTAGTTGCAACATTATAAGAAGAACTTTTAATTCCATCAGTGAAATATTTTACAACACTTTATAAAGAGGAAAGAGAGAATCCAATCTAGACCCTTACTTTACCAGACTTCTATATAACCAAGAGCTAGCAAAGGAAATAAGGAACAACTTGTTAATTAGGACAGGAAATGCATGATTTCATACAATTGTTTGATAAAACATTCAAGAAATGAAAATCCATCATTTTCAACATGAATATTTAGCTAGATGTTTAGGGTTTCACAAATCCTAGTTCAACGTCCAAATCTTTTTCTTCAAAGTCTTCTTCTTCCAACAACTCTTTGACAGCATGCCAATTTACTTCAAGAGCTACCATCTTTGCATTCAATCTCATCATTTCCAATTCGAGAAGTGCCTCATTATCTTTTAGTTTTTCTACCTCGTCTAATTTTTTGAAATATCCCTTCATTCCTAAAGCTGATTGAACATGAGGCTCAAGCCACGACAAATCAAAACCAAAGTGTTCAAGTTCCTCCCAGAAAATTTGCAGTTCATTACAAGCAATATCATTCATATCTTTCATCTTTCTGGTCTTCAGAAAATAAAGAACTCTGCCGAGAGCATTGAAAGCCCATTCCCTAAACTTTTGACTTCTTTTCTGCTGGCACTCAATAAGTGACGGGTGCTGAGCACAAACTTCATCTAACAATGGAACTAACGCCTTTTCAATTTGTCCAAAATCATTGAAATCCATAAGCTTGCCTATATTTTCGCCATTACTTTTGTCTAGCTTAGGTCTTAGAACTTCAACTTCCATCTGTACTATTTGACTTCCAGATGTATGAGAAGTAATTAAGCTAGATTCCTGTTTCACTTGCTTCTCATTTTTTGAGTCACAAATAAAAACCTCTGCACCAATAATACAAATATCTTTCACAAGAAATCCGCAAAGAGGATCATGGAGGTTACCTGAAGTCACGAAGCATTCGGTACCCCATATATCAAAATTTGCATTGAATTCCACTTCATCCTCTGTGAAATACATATATCAACCGTCAATTTAACAACGACTAATGGATTGTAAAAAAAACTGCCTCTAATGAAATAAAATATGGTTACTATTGTTTCAACCATGATTGAACTCGAATAATTTCAATCAGTCAGACTTCAATCATTTAAAAAATTCACAAATAAAATCCTCTCTTAATTCTGAAAGACAATGGGAGATACTCTAATGAATAAAAAATCATACATAAGACCTCTCTTTCTACGGGAGATATGATTTAAACAAATAATCGAATAAATAATGATGTGTCTTTTCGAAATGAAACCACATATAGAAACAAATGAAAAATACCTTCTATGATTGATTCGTTGCTGTCGATCTGGTTAAGTAAGAACAACTTAAATTTCACATGTCTGCTCCATCCATTGGACATATTAGCAGTTTCCACAGCACTTAGAAAAATTGATAAGTCGCCTACATCGTAACCCCTTTGATTAAAAATAATCTCCCTAAATCACAACCAAGTTCAAATCAGATCATTTTCGAAAAACAAAACAAAAAAGTCTAAATTAGATCACTTCATTTTCAGTGATAAAAATTTATTCTTTCAGACGTCATACCATGGATATCCGCCTATTATAAAAGGTTCGGAGCAAACATCAAGATCTGTGTTATATTTAGAGAAATTCTCAACTTTCCATGTGAATTTCTCAAACTTGGATTGTTCATGCTCCATTTCTCCAAAGTCTACTGGAAAACATACAATTACCAATATATTTTTAGTGGAGAGAAGAAATAACCGTGGTAGAATTTATATAAGAAAATGAGGAAGAATAGTGAAAAAAAATGCAAAGTTAATTAAATAAAAATACATTATAAGGCGGTATGAAGATTAAAAGACAAACATAAATGGAATTGGGTTATTCAAAACAAAAACTCATCGTTTGTATAAGATTACAGTAAATGCAACCTAGGTCCCGAGGAAGACATAGCTTATTCCTACTACTTTCATGAGAGGATATTTTATTTGGTGATTTATATTTAATGCAATTAGTTAAAAACAAAATTGAGAAGTGGAGAGGTGCAGAATCAGCTAGAAGCAGATATCTTCTCATTTGAATCATTTAGAGCAACTTTAACGCATAATTGTTAAACTAAAATTTTGTATAACATTATAGTAGAGTTGATATGACATATGAGATGCTCTAAAACTAGTTTACCTGTAACTCATTATTTAACATAAATAATAAATTTTTATTAATTTTTTTACATAAACAATAGATTTTTATTAACCATACTAAATTTGAATTTCTTAATTAAAGATGCTCTTATGTATTGGATCAATTTGTATATTATGACTGATGAAATGATTTGTATTAGATCAATTTAAGATTATAATATTTCTCAATGATATATTTTTTTGGTAAAGCTTTTTTAATGATATTTTAATAAAAATACTATTTTCTCCTATTTTTATATAATTTTCTTAATTGTAAAATATTTAACTAATTCAATTATTATTTTTAAAATAAGCCACTTTAGTTGTTTGTTTAATTTACAGTTATGCTGATTGACATGTCATGAAAAAGAAGTAGTTTATATTTGTGACAATATTGTTTTTTAATTTTAAATAATTAGAAATATATTCCATTTACTTTTAAATAAATATCATTTTCACATTTTTAATTTTTATTTTTAATTGCCTTGGTGCACAAATTTGAAGATGAAAGAAAAGAGAGAGAAAATTTTTAACTAACTTTTTAGAATTTGTTACAAATGAGTTCTAATTTTAACTGAATGTAAATTCTATTTATATATAAATTCTAAATTTGAGATGAAACTCAAATGAAACTTAAACTCAAATGGCACTTAAATGAAATGTAATTAACTATTTGAATTTGAATTACAACTAATATCATCCCTTAATTTATATTCAAGACTAAAAATTAACAACACAAATTTCACTTCTCACATTGATGAAGTGTTTAGTTTTGATTGCCTTAGTCATCGCATCTGCAAGTTGCTTCTGAGTGCTACAATGAACAACTTCAAGCACTCCATTCTAAACTTGATTACGCAGGAAATAAAACTTCATGTCAATGTGCTTACTCCTTCCATGCAGCAATGTATTCTTGGCAAGCTTATAGTTGATTTGTTGTCAACCATTAACCTTACCGGCTTGCTCACCTTGACACGCAGACAAAGCACCTGCAATGTACTCAGCTTCACAGATTGACAATGCAACCACTGGTTGCTTCTTGGAGCACTAACAAATGGGACTTCCTAGATACATGAAGAAATATCCAGAAGTACATTTTTTTGTCAAATCTATCTCCACACTAATCAGAGTCTAAATAACATATCAGCACTGAATTAGATTTAGCACTTAAAGGGAACAAATCTCCATACTTCAGAGTCCCCTTAATATACCTCAGTATCTTGATAGTAGCTTGATAATGTGACCACTTTGGTTTGTTCATAATCCTACCCATCATTCTAACTGCATAATATATATCAAGTTTGGTTTTACAAAGATATCTCAACGAGCCCACCAACTATTTAAAAGTTGTAGCATATACATCATCACTATCAACATCAGAATCCAACTTGTGATTTGTTTTAGCAAGTGTGATTACAGACTTGCAATTTATTAGCTCAAATATCTTCAGAATCTCTTGTTCATGCTTCAGCTGATGCAAAATTATACTCTTACCAAAGTACAAAATCTCCATCCCAAGAAAATATACCATATTTCCTAGATAAGTCATCTCAAACTCATTCATCAACACCTTATTGAACTTAGTTATCTCATCTAAACAACTCATTATTAGAAATATGTCATTAATATAGAGACACGCTAGAATCATATTGCTATCAAATATGTGTTGGACATAAACACCATACTCCATCTCACATTTTCTGAATCCTTGAAACCTTAAAAATGAATCAATTTTTAGATTACAAGCTCTAGGAGCTCGTTTTAGTCCATACAAGACTTTATGCAACTTGTACACCATCCCTTCTTAATTATTTTTGACAAATCCAAGAGGTTGTGACACATAAACTTCCTTTTGTAAAGAACCATTCAAAAATGCAGATTTCACATCTAAATGCATCAGAGGCCAATTTTTATTAGCAACTATATCAATCACCAATCTGATCATTTCATGTCTAACTATAGGTGCAAACATTTCAAAGTAATCTAATCCATATTTTTGTAAAAATTCTCTAGCTACTAACCTTGCTTTGTGTTTACCAATAGATCCATCTGGCTTCAATTTCAACTTGTAAACCCATCTTATAATGACGACTTTCTTGTTCTTTAGAAGCTCAGTCTAGTCCCAAGTTTTGTTTCTTTCTATAGTTTTAAGTTCTTCCTTCATGGCATTTATCCCCACTTTCTTCTTAAGAGCTTCTTCAATACTAACTAGTTCAGAGTCTACCAACATGACGCACTGAATGACTCCCCTTTCAGAGTCTATCTCAATATCTTGCAACATGTCAAACTCTGCAAATATTCTTGGTATTTGTCTGATTCTTTGTGGCATCTAAACTTGTTCAGAATCTTCTTTAGATGCTGAAAAAATATCAGATGTTGGACTACATTCGAGGCATGACCACCTTCAAAGGCATGATTACCATTAGAGTCTGGATCATCATCAGAATTTGGAATAGAATCAGATTCACCTTTAGAGTCAGACTCGCCTTCAGATTCAACTTCAACATCAAAGTCACCTTCAGAGTCAAACTTGCCTTCAGACTCAACTTCAACATTAGAGTCACCTTCAGACTCTGACTCATCTTCAGAGGCAGAATCCCTTTCAAAGGTAGATTCTCCTTCAGAGTCTCAAATATCTTCAGAAGTTAACTCAGGTGTTAACACTATACCATAGTTGGATTGAGACTTATTCCAATCCCACGCTTCTAATTACTTCAAAATAACATCTTTATTGAATTCAACTTTTGTTAGTGACATGATAATAGATCTTATAAGAACATGCACTGTGGTACTCAATCAGTAACATTACTTTGCTTCTACCGTCCAACTTTCTTCTCTTAGCATCTAAGACATGTTTATAACATACAGAACCAAACACATTCAGATGTGTCTCTAGTCAACTTCTGAATAAGAACTACTCCTTTCAACTTCTTTATGGGACACCTATTGATCACTTATGCTGCAGTGGCAACAACTTCTCCTTACAAAGTGTGAGGGAGCTTCTTCTCCATCAACATGCTCCTTGTCATATCAAGCAAAGTTCTGTTTCTTCTTTCAGTAAGACCATTGTGTTATGGAGTATATGGAGCAGTCACCTCATGTTCAACTCCATTCTCTTCACATAACCTTCTGAACTCTGATGAGTTGTACTCACATCCACTATCAGTTCTAAGAACTTTCAACTTCTGACCACTCTATTTTTCAGTCTTCATCTTGAACTTGTGAAACTCAGCAAACACCTCATGCTTAAACTTGATGAGTTCTACCCATGTCATTCTTGTGAACTCATCCACAAATGGCACAAAGTACTTATTTCCTCCAAGCGAAGGTACTTTAAATGGTCCATGTACATCAAAATGCACTACTCCTAAAGCATGTTTTGCTCTTTCAACCACTCCTTATGCAAATAGAAATCTAGGTTGCTTGCCTTTCATGCATATCTCATATGACTTCTCAGGCTTCACAATCTTATAAATTTCTTGTACCAGCTTCTTAGAACTCAGATGCCCTAAGCTTCTGAAATTCAGATGCCACAACTCACTGTTACCTTCGGTACCTTCTGCACCAAGACATTTAGTTTCAGTTGTTTCCATATTCACCTTGAATATTCTGTCGCTTCCCTATTCAGATTGCATAATCAAATTTCAATTAGAATCATACAACTTCAAGAGAATGTTCTTCATAGTAATTGAGAAACACTTCTCAATTAGCTGACTTACACTCATCATATTTTTCTTCATGCTAGAAACATACCAAACATCCTTGGTCATAATAGTTTTTCCTTTCTTCATTCTCACTTTGACATTTCCCATTCCTTCAACATTAAGGTACTTATAATTAACACATCTAATTTTTGTTCTCTTTATAGAGTCAAAGTTAATCAAGCAGTGTCCATATATATGGGTGGAAAGACGGTCGTGGCCCGTCAGGCCAGCTCGCGCACCCGCAAAAAAATGGCGGGTTGGGTTGAGATTTTGGGCTCGTCTACCGGTAACACCCTACTCTACCATTGACTTAATAAATAGAAATAAGAAAACAGTTTGTGGAGAAATCAGAGTACACACGTAGGATGCCACATAAATATAAAATCTCATGAAGCATTAAGTCGCTTCATGTCTTATTTCATCATGAAAATAAATTAATTAAACAGTGAGATAATCAATTAGTTCAGCACTAAGGCCCCAATTACATCAAACATCCATAAAGTCTGTGGTTCTACATCATTAAACAAAATCAAGATACGTAACAAATAACAAATAACAAAAAAAGTAACTAAATCCCCATCCTACTCATGTTACATATAAAAGCGACTCCTAAGACTCGATCAGAAGTAACACAAGCTCTAAGCACTACTCAGGTACGTGATTATATGTACTCCTGAAGGAGCATAGACACAACAATAGAAAAGGGGTGAGAATTACATTCAATAATTATATTGTGCAAATCACATGCTAAGGTGTAGTAATTCACACAATTCACGCTAATCAAACATTCATAACGCACATACAAGTGCCACA